ACTAAACTTAGTCGACTCTAAAGTAAATACTAAGTAGTAAATACTCCGTAGTAAATATTATTAATAAAAGGTGGATGATCTTATTATTTAAAAGATCGACCAAGAAAACATTACTTGGTCGACCTTTTAATAAGAGTCGCATCGAGTTCCATTTGATGTTTTTCAAATTTCAAAAATAGTTTCTATGATCGACCAAAAAAATAATAAAGTTTGAGTAATAGGTCGATTTTTGAAATCTTTTCCAGTAAAAATTCATTAATTATTATAAAAAATTTTCCAACCATAATAATGGGACAGTGAATTGGGACAGTAAATAGTAATTAAAAAGATTTGATGTGACGGAGGCAGGTTATATCGAACGGTGGATAAAGGCCCTTCTTATAATCTCCGAGAAAATAATTATTGGGATATGGGTTTTCCTGCATGCTTTTAGACTACCCTAATTCAATGCCAAACTGTAAAGTTTTCTGTCCCATCTTATCTCTTGCTCAGTCATATTTTTTGCAAAAATACTCCAATGGGATTAGTATGATCGACCTAGCCCACTAATAGACTTGGTCGATTTTTTTTATTAAGAGTCGCATCGAGTTATACGATCGACCAAACCTAATATTATAAGTGGTCGACCAACATAATATTAGAAGAGGTCGACCAAAACCCAAATAATAAAATCTGAGCATATGTCGATTTTGAAATATTCTTTCCCTCTAGTTGTTTTATAGAATTTTGCATAAAAATATATTATGTTCTTCATATGTATTCTTATAAGAATAGACTTATACGCAGTAAAAATTCTTTAATTACTCCGTATTTTAAAAAAATTTCCAATTGTAATAATGGGACAGTAAATAATACTCCGTATTTTTAAAGATTTGATGTGACTGAGGCAGGTTATATCGAACGGTGGATAAAGGCCCTTCTTATAATCTCCGTAAAAATAATTATTGGGATATGGGTTTCCCTGCATGCTTTTAGACTACCCGAATTCAATGCTAAACCGTTCAAAGTCATCGCACCAAGAACCGTTCAATGCCAAAGCCTTCTTTCACCAAGTACCAATGGTTATCCCCCTTATAAATTCTAAATCATTGCACCATCCTATACTCAATCCATCCACAAATCCGGTTGTTCTCCAATCCTTTCACCCATCATATTCTCAAATCCGGTTATTTATCCTTAAAATTTCTCACCTTTATATTATAATGTATTGGGAGTAATGGTTCTTTCATTTACGTGGTTATTCAGTAAAGAGCGTAATGGATTTCTCGTATTAATAAAAAGAGCTTAATGGATTTCTCGCGATCCATTATGTTCTTTTTGCCAATCTCCCACCGCCTTAATCGGAAACACATTGTTTTTGGATCAACAATGTGTATTCTTCCCTTAAAGTTATTTTGGTGTGGAGAGATGTGCGCCAATTGCTACTTGCTCTTAGGGGGGCTATGGAGGAGGAGGCACAACGAGTACACAGCTGACATGGTGGAGGCTCTGAGCTCAAGTGGTGAGTCCAAGAATTTGCTTCTCACTACAGAGTCCAGTGTTGGATTATGTTATTATAGTCCATCTGTAATATACCCACCCTGGGAGGGTTGACTTCTGGACTTTATAATACAGATGCACTGTACATAAAAATAATTAAACTATCAAAGGATCAACTACTACAGACCTACCATGGAAGAGGCTCTAGCTCAAGTGGCGAATCAAAAAATATGCACATTCACACTACGGTGAATAGAAGTCTACATTTTGTGATGGACACACATAACGAGTTCCATTTGTGCTTTTGTTGTTTTACTTATTGTTGCCGAATGTTAAACAATGTACAAGGAAGTTAATTTCTGTTCTGTTTCTTTAATTCATTTATATGATCATCTTTAGTATATTGGAATCAAGGTTGTTTTCATATATTCACGTTGATTGTTAAATTTCATCACTTAATAATACAACATTACAATAGTTCTTACAATATTCGGATAAAAAAGTTTTAAAAGTTGACAAAGGGGGAAATTTATTCTGATCTTAATTCAAACCATTCCTCATCACTCTTCGTCACTCATATCAGAGGAAGATCCAGAATCAAGGTCACTCACTGATAAGCCTAGGATTTTTGCCAAAGCTTCCACCCTCGCTTCCAAATTCTATATGATTTCCATCCAATTTTGAGACCCGTTTTGGAGTTCTATTTCTTCTGTCTCCGGTACCCCCAGCTTTTTCTCCATATCCTTCAATCTCTCCTTCCACGACTGAATTTTTTTCTCAATGTTTTTGGGGACATCATTTGCTTTGTTTTCCATATCGAAAATTGTTTGAGATGCGGGTGATTTCCATTTCAATACGGAGTATTTCTGTATATATAAGCGTGCTTCACTCCCAGCCAGCATTAACATCCCGTGAACTTGGTCAAACTGTCAAAGTTTGGGAAATGTGCGATTTTTAACTTTATGCTGCATGTGAATAGGAAAAGAAAAAGTAAACATAAAGTAAACCGGGGGTACTTATTAAATTATTATGTCGACCTACTTGAATGTCGACGTATGTGGTCAACCTACTATAAAGCAACGTTTCATATTATAATGTCGACATTTTTTATATAGGCCGAAGCAACGTTGATATTTCCATCAAGGTTTTGGGAATTGTGCTGCTTTGTAAGTAAAGAATGCGAATTTAAATTATGTCGACCTATTAAATGTAGACCTATTACAATGTCGACATATATTTGGTATCGGTAAGTATTATTTTAAAAAATACTAATTTAATATTCCATATCCGTTAGTATTTTTTAAATTACAGAATGAGTTAAATACATAATTAGGAATCGATGCGTCGATTTAAACTTTTCTCAGTTTACAATTTACAAAACGAGTTAAATATTGTACGTAATTTGGAAACGACGCCTATGTTTATCCGTCGACGGCGTCGTTTCATTTATGGGCTTGATACTATAAATATGGGAATCACTTGCTAGGGTTTCATACTTTCATCCCTATCCATTTGTAAAGATCTGCAAAATGACGAGTTTTTTTGTTATCCTCTCCGATGATCTCGGTTTCAGAGAAAGATTGGTTTGATATTTCATTCATTTTCTTGTGTTTCTTTTACTTTTAAATTATGTTATGTCTAATTAACTCAATCTTTTACTGATTCAGATGATCCCAGATTACTTTAATAAGATTGCCGGTGGTCCTGAATACGCTGATGGCGATGTCATCAGGATTTGGGGCCCTCTTTCCGCAGACCCTGTTGAAGTGAAATATAAAGTATGTGAGCAAGGAAACCTCTTTTTTGGGGAGGGCTGGGCCAGAATAGTTGAGGCCTATAATCTCGAGGAGATTCATATTCTTCATTTTCATTATGTAACGAACTTTGATTTTTCTATCAAAGTTTTTGGTCAAAATGGGCGTGCGGTGGAATACTAATATTTCCACCAAAGAATAATATGTACTCCCTATTATTTTTATTTTAATGAACTTTCTCCTTCTGCTCATCCATCCTTTATGATATTTTGATACTCCATGAGAAAAAATCTAATTTTTAACTTCATTCTTGGAAAAAGGTCCACAACTGAGCCTGAATATGACATAGAAATGGAAGAGGTAGCCTCTTGCATTTATGAGGTAGGTCGACTTTAAAAATGTGGCATTAATGCGTTAGATTTCACAATAGACACATTTAATTATAATAGCACAAGATTTATATTTAGGATTTTCAAAAATTCTCTCTATATTTAAATATAATTTCGACATTTTAAATGTCGACCTATTCTAATGTCGACAATATTTCTCCCTATTACTACTATTATTATTATTAATATTGTTTTTAATAATATATTATTAAAGTTAATGCTATAATGGTCCTTGTACAAAATTTAAATGTTATTGCTGAATGTGATTTTTTATATTCATCGACCTACTACAATGTCGACATATGTGGTCAACCTACTATACAGCAACATTTCCTTCGTCGTTTTATATTATAATATCGACATTTTTTATATAGACCGAAGATACGTTGATATTTTTGGGAATTGGGGCCCTCTTTCCGCAGACCCTGTTGAAGTGAAAATTGAACTATGTGAATTGAGGCCTATAATCTGGAGGAGATTCATATTCTTCTTTTTCATTATGTAACGGACTTTGATTTTTCTATCCAAGTTTTATGTCAAAATGGTAGAGGTTGTCTCTTTCATGAATATGGTAGGTCGACTTCTCGTTTATGAATATAATCGACTACTTGTGTACTATGGTTGGTCGACTTGTCGTGAATGTTGCCTTAAATTTTAAACGTTAAAGTGATTCTTTTCAAATTAAGGTCAACCTTTGTGTATGATTATGAAAGAGCTTGAATATGATAGAGGTTGACTATTATAGTATGTGGCCTCAAATTTTCAATGTTTAATGGGTTAGTTTTGACACAAAGACACATTTAAATACAATAGCACAAGATTTATACTTTACGAGTATTAAAAGTTCTCTCTACATATTGCATATGCGTATGAAGTTCTCAATTGGACAATGTCAAGTTCACTGAATCCGCTAAGCACCGAAGGTTGCAAATTTTGAACACCAAGCTCAATGAACTTCAAAGCAAACACCCCACAGTCTGAATTTGTCTGTTGCGGCACCAAAGGACGTTCAACACTTCATTTCGCGGTCATGTCTCTGTGGTCGCCAGGAATACCTTGAAGATAATTTGATGCGTATTGGCACATCACAGGAAAAATTGTGAGCATTTTTGACAGTTCTTCTTCAAGTTTACTCATGCTTGTAATTCGTTGTAGGGAGTCAAACACCACCAGACACTTTCTATCGAATTCAGCTCTTATGGCGACCCAATGATCCTTTATGTTATGAACCCAATAAACACATGAAATATCCTTCCACGGTTTAGAGCATGAGTCCCATCTACCAAGAACTATTTCTGCGAGGCCGGTGTCCAGGATTGGAAATAGTTCAGTAGTGGCATTGACCTCACCTAACATTTGAAAGCTCTCTGGGAGGACGACATATGTGCTATCTTTCTTGTTATACATCTTCATGAAGTAGATCATGATTTCTTCCATATGCTGCGTATGAAATAAAAATAAGTTGTTAAATTTATAATACCAAGTTATTTGTATATACGGAGTAATACTAATATTAACTTATATTACCGTGGTCTCCAACTAGCCGTCGGATTCCATCAAGGAACTCCACCACTTCTTAACAATACCGTGGGACTCTCTCCTCTTTTCCATGATACACTGAACTTCTCTCCCATCAGCAATTGCCGACTGCATGAATTGATGGAAGGCCTCAAGTTGTTGGCTAGATGGGTTCCTTCGTTTGTTGAGTTGCTCTTCTTCGGCTTTATCGAGCTCATTTGATACATTACTATTAATAACCTTTACCTTTTTAAGTACATTGCTGAAGTAGGGGCTCGATATATGAATACTTCGTTTCTTCTCCCGGAGACCTTGACCCAATTCCTGGATGTTAAAAGTAATATGTCAAGGAAAAGTAAGTTTAATTCAATAATACTCAAATTAAACCGTACCCGTGCAGCAGCGACTTCATCCACATCTGTCAGTTCTCTCAAGACGTCACCATCGGACTCAACTTTCTACTCAGAATTTATAAGGAATAAGCATTAGGCAGGATCACAAATGAGTTTATCAGAATATAAGTTTATTACCTCATCAACATTGTTTTCAGTTGATTTGCAGAATTCAACAACATCATGGACAATTTTATCACTCATTGCCATCTCATCTTCATTGGCCTCTCCCTCAACTGCAAACTTTTCCTCTTCTTCTTCCTGACAATTGGAAACATAATGCTTTACTAAAGGTTTCAAAACATAAGAACATACTTTGGCGACCATAAAAATCAACGAAACAAAAAAGATCGACGAATGGGGTCGACCAAGTTACCTGGATTGGTGGACACCTATTCTTTACTTTAAATTGGTCAACCTCTTCTTCATCTTTCTCTTCAGGAATTCCTTCAAAACTGGAGAGCTTGACCATATTGTCTGCAATGGGCTCATCTTCTTCCTTCCCATCTCCTTCCTTCCCAACTTCTTCCNTTTTTTTCCCTCTTCATTATGGTCAACCCCGTCAAAACTATAGGGGTCGACCTTATTCACTCCCACCGGCTCTTCTTCCTTCCCATCTTTAATAGCATCTTCATTATGGTCCACCCATTCAAAACAAGGGGGGTCGACCTTCTCATCTTCCTTCCCATCTTTTATTTCATCCTCTTCATTATGGTCCACCCCTTCATGTATAGAGTGGTCGACCTCATTCACTTCCACCGGCTCTTCTTTCTTCCCATCGTATTCCTTCGCTTCGTCAATCTCTCCCTTTGAGTATGCAAGTAAGGTTAAGAGAATTCTTTCTTATAGTGTCTGAAATTTTCTTTCCAAGAAATTTTCAACCTCCAGACATAGCGTCTTTTGAAGCTCAGAAAATTTACCATCAATGTAATCTTTCGGTGAATTAGGCAAGATTTGACTAGAATTTCCACTTAAAGATGAAGCCTTGATATTGGTTGTCCTTTCCAACAGAGGGCTCTGCGTTTCCAACATAGGTCTGTGCTCAGCCTTTTCATGTGGGGTGCACGGCTTTGATACTTTTCTCCTCCTAAGGACATACTTTTTGGAGGGGACTTCTGACCCCTCACTTGAAGAGTGAACTTCATCTTTAGATGAATTCCTTCCTACATGAACTTCATCTTCACTTGCTTGGGCCAGAAGTTGTTTTTTCATGCATAATTGAATATGCTTGTCACCACCTTGGATTCCCCTTACGAATTCTCCAAGAGTTGGATTGGAAACAGAAGGCAAAGAGGTCAGACTGGTGATCCAAGGGGCACGTATTTCACTTCCTTCTGGAAGAAGAATGCTCCTAACACTCTACAAAAGAAAGAGCATATTTAAAAAATGAGTGTAGATCATCTTAAGTCAACCTTCACTTTAAAGATCATTAAGTCGATTTTCACCTTAAGTCGACCTTGCTCTTTAAACTTTAGACCTTACCTTGGCAGCGTTTAGTGCATTGATTATGGCTTTGTGCGACGTCTTTTTTGAAATATTATTTTTCCAGAGACACATTCTCGGAAGTGCTTGATTTGTTTGCTCCATTTTCACTCCAAATGTCTCTCCAAAATCATTAATGTACTCAAATAGGAGAAACTGCATTCAGCAATAAATGAAGCCCAATTTAGCCATCTCCTTATAGGAACGTTTAGTATCAATTTAAATTAATTTACTCACGGATGAGGGGAGGACAAAGCCAGTGTATCGGAGGGTGTTTGATGTTTTCCCGCCTTTGACAAGCTTCTTTTTTTCTGAAACTAAGTCCTTCCCCAAAGATTGGATACGGAGGGACTCCAAGAATGCCCATGTCCCCCATGGGAAAGACATGGAATCATCAGAGTTTGCAACAGTGGCAAGGATCCATTTCGGAACTGGGGCATCTTTCTTAGCATGACCAATTAAAACGAGAACAACAAACATCAATGTCGCCACCTTCACTATCCACTGGAGTGCATACTCTTTCTTCCCTTCATCGTCAAGTAGCTGGCACAATTTTGAGAACCTCTCGACAACTGAAGTGTAACATACCACACCCTTTGACCAGTTTTCTTTAACGAAAACAGGCAGTGAATCCTTATCATACTGCTCTTCGTATCCGGGAGCTAGTTGTGAACATTTGAGTCCAGTAATCAAGGAAAATTCCATTAGAGAGTATCTAATGCGAACTCCATTTACTACAAACCACATTTCAGAACCTTTTGCTCCTTCCACATTAGCCTCCCTAACCATCAACTGCCATAACATGGCTGGAGGGGGAACAAGTTGGACATCAAGGAAAGCACCAAAAGGAGAATCTCTCCTAAACAGTTCAAGGATTTCCATATGATCGCACAACTTTTCTTTCATCAATTTTTGGAAGTCTTGCAGTGAAGACTTCACATTCAGCTTCATATATGGAAAGTCCTTTGAATTGACCTTCGTCTTTATCGCCGGAACCTATATAACGGCATATAATGTCAACGAATTTCATATGGAAAGATATGCAATTAGTGCGACCAAGAGGTCGACACTTATTTTAGTCGATCAATGAAGTCGATCAGACTAAAAATTTATAAACCATTGTCCATTGGTTATTTGGAGAGAGAATAATTCATTTAAAATCAAGTTTCTGACCTCGAGTGTTCCTTGTGTGGGCTTTGGGCTACCGCTGTGCTCTTTCATCCTCTCTTCCGCATGATACTCATCGTTTCCATTCTTGGAGGAAGACACAGAAGCATTCTTCGTCCTCATTGTAGAAATTCAGGGTTTTCCGAGACTGGTGACTTTGGATGGGTAGGGTTTCGATCAAGTTTTGCAGGTGTCGAAGAGGGGGGATAGAGCACACACAGATCGAAAACTCAATGGTCGCACGATGAAGGAAGATGTTTATGGAGGGTTTTTGTATAGTCTTTTCCGACGTCGTTTCGCCCATTTTCGGATTTTTTATTTAAATTTAAAGTTGAAACGCCGTTTAAGCTTCGTTAAATGGAATAACTTTTCATTTTCTAAGAAGCGCGTCGGTCATACACGCCTGGACATTTCCGTCAATTCACCTTTACAGGGTAGTCCACCAAATACGAAACATTTACAGGGCATTTTGATAAAATCTCCCATTTGGTACATGGAATTCAAACTATGGAATTGGAATTGAAGACTTCAATTCCAATTCCGGTGTTTGGTAGCACAAAAATTATGTGGATATTGAATTGATAGTGCAAAAAATGAATTAGAATTGACAGAATTCAATTCTATGGAATTGAATCTCATGGAATTTCAATTCCAATTTAATTCCAATTCCGTCAATTCCGTTTACCAAACGGACCCTAACACTATGTTTGGCTCAAAGATTTTGGAAGGAAAAGAAAAGAAAATGGTTTTATCTCATTTTTCTCACCAAAATGGAAGGAATTTGGTTTTCCCTCCACTTGGTACATTTTGCATCCTCATTTTCTTTTCCTTCCACTTTTCCTTTCTTTTCTCCTCTAACCAAACAAGAAAAATGGTTTTCCACTTCATTTTCTTTTATCTTTCAAATTTCTTGAACCAAATATAGCGTAAGAGTATTTTATCCAACATTTTTCATTAGACTAAGAGCATCTCCAACCTTATCAATATGGCTTGCTAAAAGTTATATAATAGCAAGTGAATCTCTTTTTTCCATCTCCAAGAGATATGGTATATTTTAACATACTTGTCAAAAATTAAAATTGGCTTGCTAAACCTAGCAAGCCATCCAAATAAAAGCAAGCCAAGAAAATTAATAAAAAATTAAATTAAAATCCAAAAAAGTAACGGGAATAGGAAGAGGCACATGAAAAAGTCATTCTTCTTCCTCCGTTAGTGAATTAATTCACTTTAATTCATTTTTAATTACTAAAAGGGAATTCATTATATTTTAAAATCTAGTTGTTAGTTAAATTTTAGCAAGCATGGTTGGATGATGGATTAAAGAACTACTTGCTAAATTACTATTTACTAATTAAAATTTAACAATAGCATTTTAATATAACAAAGATGATTGGAGATGCTCTAATTAGTTACGGAAAATGCTAGGGCTGTGTCCCACCTAGCATGGTCCAATTAATTACAGATTATTTGGTTAATTTGAGAGGAGGCAGTTGTTGTAGGACCGTCATACTTCCCCAATCCCCATGGCCTTTATATTTGGAATCTCTCTACTCATTTCAACAAGCTTCATCATCCATTAAGGCTTGTCTTTATACTTCATCGGTAATAATTTTTCCTGCAATTGAAGCTACTTTGATGAGTGATGATCACCACTTGTTTACGGTTTTATCTCTATGAGGGTTTCATATTGTTTTTTTAATTATTACGATTTAGGATCTATGATCAGCTCCGTTTCAGTACAGTATTTACTTTTGATGTTGTATTTCTTTTTTTTTTACAGTAGTTTTTCTTTGTGTTGGACCAGAAATTTTATTTATCTTACCCATGTAACAGTTCGAATGAATCTGTCTGTGTTATGACTTTTGTCATCCTTCCTCTTTTTTTGAAGTTTTCTGTTTTTTCTATTTTGAAGTTCAACGATGAGTGATAAATTGAACTTTAGTTGATTGGTAGTGTATAAATTGCCGATTCTGTAGCATAATTTTTTTATATATAGTTAACACCTGCATCAGTATCTTTATACATGTTTTTGCTGATAATTTTCTTATATACAGTTAACACCTGCATCAGTATCTTTATACATGTTTTTGCTGATAATTTTCTTATATACAGTTAACACCTGCATCAGTATCTTTATACATGTTTTTGCTGATAATTTTCTTATATACAGTTAACACCTGCATCAGTATCTTTATACATGTTTTTGCTGTGTCTATCACTTCATTCTTATACATGCTTAGTTAATTTTTTAACCTATAAGCTAAACGATGTGTAACAAAATCCCTTTTTTTCTTAATCCAGACGAGCCCAGAACACTTTGTCCAATTTAAACATGATTAAGAGCTTGCTCTCTTCAATTTATTCTTTTTATTTATTACTTATTCTTATTGAAATCAGTCCAGATCAGACAGATTTATATATAACTACAATTAGATCAGAACCAATCACATAAGTTGAAGAGAACAAGCCCTTATATGGTTTTAGCAATGAAATGTTAGCTCTTGTGAGTAGAGTCATATAAGATTCTACGTGACTTTCGTAAAGGAAATTTGTTTCCCGTAAATTTAAAAACTCAAAGAAAAATGGGTACTGCTTCCTCGCGGGCGCTCCTCCACCCAGTTACAATGTTTCTGATTTCTTTTGCTTGATCTGTGGTGATGGTTGGCTTTCTACATATAGAAGAACTAACACCTTCCCCTTGTTGATTTTCAGGAAATCGTCAAACATGGAAAGAAAGTACATCTGCACTTCTATTATTTTGTGGGTTATTGCATGTTCTGTGCTTCGTGTTCACTCTGAAAATCTACTGAGAGTTGGTTTGAAGAAGAATCCATTGGATTTCAACAGCATAAAAGCAGCAAAAGCAGGTAGAGCAGGAGGGAAGTGTGGGAATAGTATTAACAACAAGTTGGGTGACTCAGATGCAGACATTGTCTCTTTGAAGAACTACTTGGATGCACAATACTATGGAGAGATCAGCATTGGTTCTCCCCCTCAGAAGTTTACGGTTATATTTGACACTGGCAGTTCTAATCTATGGGTCCCATCATCCAAATGCTACTTCTCTGTATGCCCCTGCTAATTCTCAATTTATTTTCCTTTATAGACTTGTGACAGTTGTTTCTTAACTTAAGTTGCTTTGCAGATTGCTTGCTTTCTTCATCCCAAGTACAAGTCAAGCAAGTCCTCTACATATACAAAGATAGGTAAGTTAACTGTAATATATAGCATGACTGTTCCATATGATGGTTGTAAGCAGATGTATACATGAAATTTAATAAGTAGCTCCTTCAATGACATGACTTTGAACATAAATGTATGAACGGGTTACCTTCTTCTCTTTATCTCCTCAGGGACATCTTGTTCAATCACATATGGGTCTGGATCTATTTCTGGATTTCTCAGCCAGGACGACATTGGAGTTGGTGACCTTGTAGTCAAAGATCAGGTGAATTTTTATTTACCATGAGTTCAGTGGAATATAAAATTTGAGTTTCTTCCTTTTGACTTGTAATTGTGCTTCCTTGCTACAGGTCTTTATTGAGACTACAAGAGAGGCTAGTCCTACATTTATATTGGCCAAATTTGATGGGATATTTGGACTTGGGTTCCAGGAAATTTCCGTTAAAGATGTTGTTCCGGTTTGGTATGAACCTAAATTTAGTCTTCTCTTTTCACCATCTGACATATTTGCACTAAAAAATTCATTGTGTACGTGCAGGTACAACATGGTGGACCAAGGTCTTGTAAATGAGCCAGTGTTCTCTTTCTGGCTTAACCGTGATACAAATGCACAGGATGGAGGAGAACTTGTTTTTGGTGGTGTTGATCCTAAACACTTTAAGGGGGAACACACTTATGTTCCTGTCACTAAGAAGGGTTACTGGCAGGTACCAGAGTATTACCCTTGTTTTTCTCTCTTTTTTCTATTCTTGACTAGAAAAGGTTCAATTAGTTATTTACAAGGTTCTTTTCTCTTTCTCATCCAGTTTGAAATGGGAGATTTCCTCATTGGAAACAGCTCAACAGGTGAGTCACAACATTCTCCATTTTCTCTATAAAATTCATGGAGCATTCACGAGGAATTGTGCATTGTGACATTAAGAGCCGCAACATTTTGCCATCCAACGGTGGCTCGAAAATCACCAATTCCGGTTGCGCGAAACGAGGAGCTGCAGCATGCGTGGGTGGAACCCTGATGTTCATGTTGCCAGACTTTGCACCGGGGACAGAACAGGGGTTTCCCGGTGGACATATGGGCATTGAGATGTACACTCCTTTAAATGGCCACCAGCAATGCTCACCATATCCAAATGCTTCTTACCCGACATCACTACTCTACCATATAGCACGCTTGAGGGAATCTCCAAAGATTTCGTCTATCATCTCCGACCAAGCAAAGGACTTCCTCGGAAACTGCCTGACAACAAATCGAATCCCTAAGATAGATGGACGGTGTAACAGTTCCTGAATCATCAATTCCTCTACCAAGAACCGAGAAATCCACTTCCTAAACAAGAACCCAACTAGAATACATTCTCAATCTCCAGGGTTGTTGGGATATGGAGTACCTGAGTTCAAGAATGGGGATTTGTAGTTCCAGACTTCCAAAATGGGGATACAGAAAACCTGAGTTCAAGAATGGGGACAAATATGCCATTGTTGTTGATGCCATCAATTAGAATGCTTATCCGTGAACCATATTTATCAGGCTCATGCTTAGGAAGTGGAGTTCTCGGTTCTTTGGAGAAAATGATGTATTGGGAGCTGTTCTGCCATCCATCGATATCTGCGATTCGGTGTCAGGCAGTTTCGGAGGAAGTCCCTTGCTTGGTCGGAGAGGATAGCCAGAACATCTGTAGATTCTCCAAACATGCTATATGGTAGGATAGTGATTTTAGGTCTGTGGCATTTGGCCACGATGATCCGCCGATGGCCCTTTCAATGAGTGTGCATCCCAATGCAACCTGTTAGTTCCCCTAAACATAGCAATGGTTCCCCACGCAGCAGTGGCTCGTCTCGTGCAACCGCAGTGGGATACTTTTGTGCCCCCGTCGTGCAACAAAATGTTGTGGCTTTTAATGTCTCAATATACAATTCCTATCGAATGCTGGCTAGCATGTTATTCGTATCTACCTATAATTTATTATAGAAAATATAGAATTATAGTATGTCAAATTCCCAGTAAGAAGGTGATAAGTCATGAAAGTATATTCCATGCTATCATCTGTGGTGCTTTAGAAAAGGAAACAAACTTTTTTTCAGTGAGCTACTTAACATTAAGTATTTGAAGTCGTACAATAGTGAGTATGTCTTTCTGAGAACTTTTTTTATTTCTATCTAGGCTTTAGACATAGTACTTATTACACCCTTGGTTCTTTAAGGCTAACACATAAAACTATCACATATTTGTTTGTTTTAGCATTCTTTTACTCTGAAAAGAGTAATATGAGCGAGTCATATGAATTGTGGCTGTTATGTCTACATAGGCTTTTGTGAAGGTGGTTGTGCTGCTATTGTGGATTCTGGGACATCCTTGCTTGCTGGTCCAACTGTAAGTGCAACACTTTTTTCGGCAGTATTCTGTGGTTGCACAGAATGTTGAACGTCTATCTTGTTTGTTGGTAGTATATTAATCAGTACTATTGCTAAATTACATTGCTTTTCAGACCATAGTTACAGAGATCAACCATGCCATTGGGGCAGAGGGAGTAGTGAGCACAGAATGCAAAGACATTGTTTCTCAGTATGGAGAGATGATATGGAATCTGCTTGTATCTGGGGTTTGTATCCTTTACTAATGGCTCAATTTCTTGCTTTTGGCTCCATATTAGATTTGTGTCTGTTAACAAGAGATGTGAATGGTCTGCAGGTGCAACCTGGTGAAGTATGTTCACAAGTTGGATTATGTGTATTTAGCAAGGCTGAGAGGTTATTCCCTTTTTCTTTTCTTTTGCGGGATTACTCTATAGTTTTATCTTAGAGAGAACCCTAATTAAGTAGGATCCTTGTGATGGGATGAATTCAAGCTTTCTAGATTTCACTAGTCTCTTTACATAATAATTTATTGTTACTTATAGGAAACTGTAGTTTAGCCCTAACCCAAATTTCGGGCCCCTCATCCTTCTACATGACATGTTCTTCCGATGTTCATTATCAATTCCATTTTACAGAGTATTACATATACTCCCTCCGTCCAACTTTTATCTTCCCGGTTTGACCGGGCACACAAATTTAGATAAAGTGAAAATGGGGTTGAATTTCCCAAAATGCCCTTCCCTCATTCACTCCACCAGCCTCTGACACGCCACAAGCTAAAGTCACCGCTCCACCCTTCTTCCACTCCAGCGTCACAACCGCCATCCAGCCGACACTCCTAAACCGCTGGTGACCAAGAAACAGAGAAACAACGCACCAGATTGAAGAGCCTAGAGGGCGCAAGCTCCCAACCCAAATCAGCGCCCTTCTTCTGCTCGCCACTGTCAGGCAGCACCAGAAAAAGATGGTCGGGACCTCGCCGCTGTTCTTCTTCCTGTGTGGATCAAACACAAACTGGCGACCCTCCATTCCAACGGAGACAAAAGCATACAACTTTCAGATCTGGCAAAGAAGAGACTTACTCCTTCAGAATTCAGATCTGACAAAGAAGAAGACTCGATGACAAAGAAAATTGAAAGAAAAAGAATACTCGAATAAGAGGATGAAGGTTCAAACAAGGAAAACGATTCGTAGATGAAGGAAAGAATAAAATTGGAGTGGTGGCTGGACCAAATCTGAAGGGGAGAAAGAAAGAAAGAAAGAAGAAGAAGAAAAGAAGAAAAAAATTGGAGTGAAGGCTGGACCAAATCGGAAGGGAAAGAAGAAAAGAAGAACAAGAAGAAGAAGAAGAATGGGGAAGAAGAGAATGGGGGAAGAAGAGAAGAAGAAGGATGGGCAGACCAACAGGGGAGGAAGAAGAAAAGAAAAAGAAGTGGGTTGGTGGATGAGGGTAATTTAGTCATTTTTAGATAAAAAAGTTACCAAAAAAGGAAACGGGAAGATAATTGTTGGACGGACGAAATAGGAAAGTGGGAAGATAAAAGTTGGACAGAGGGAGTATTAGATTGTGATAAACAAAAGTTGGTACATACATTATTCTTAGTTTATAATACTTTCTTCTGCTACCGTGCAGATGGCAGCTTACTAACAGCACCTGCTAGCATCCTAGTTTCTCATTATTGAATGAAGTATCATAGTGCTATCAAATCTTACTGTTTTTAATCTTCCATGCTGTTAGAGTGCATCCCACATCGGAAGTCCAAGAGTAAAATAATCCGGTATATAAGCTCTTGAGTTAAACTAACTAATCGATTGGATTCAATCTTTTAATGTGGTTCAATCCAAGTGTCTTATTGCCAGTTATCCATACCCATCCTAAATTCTATCATGGTATCAAAGCAGGTTTTGGCCCACCTCGTTTGTCAAGGTGTCCGTCTAGACGTTCATTCCTAGCGGCCCGTTAGTCTTTAGCCCAGTGGTCCGTATGGAGTATGTATCCAACGGCCTGTGGCCCGTTAACACGATTGCTCGTCTGGAAGTCCATACCCAGCGGCTCGTGGTCCTTTAGGTGTTGGCGCTCAAAAAAAAATATTAAGGGAATGAGAGTTCATTTGCAAGTGGTCAACCGGTTAGATTCAAAATGGCCCGGTTGTCTACTTGAGGGGGAGTGTTAGAGTGCATCCCACATCGGAAGTCCAAGAGTAAAATAATCCGGTATATAAGCTCTTGAGTTAAACTAACTAATCGATTGGATTCATTCTTTTAATGTGGTTCAACCCAAGTGTCTTATTGCCAGTTGTCCATACCCATCCTAAATTCTATCACATGCCATTTTGCCATTCATCAGAATATTACAATCCATTCCATCAGATCCTTTATTCAGAGCATTAGTACTTGCAACTGAACATTTCAGTCAGACACCACCAGACATCATTGCGAATTCACTCTTACCTATGGTGTTATATGTGTCTTTGGAAGGTTTTGATTTATTTTGATGGTCATTCCAAGTTCTGTCGTCTTTCCACTTAAGGGGCAGTTTACTGCATAAATATTCATGTTTACCAAGCCTTACCTATTTGATCGTCCTTCAATGTTATACACCTTTTGTGCTCGGTTGGCCTCTTACAATTGGTTCTCCATTCCCGAGAGTTGTGCTGATGCAGTCTTGGGCCACACACATATTCTGGTAGTGGCACGCGTTGCAAGGACACTGCACAACCCACTCCAGAAGCCTTATTATGCCCACCCTTGTTTTTTTGCTTAATTAATAAGTTTCCTTGTTTATTTATAATTAATATCTTGGATATCTTTTATGCTATTAATTAGTAGTTCGATAGTGTACCTTCAAAACTAAAGGGAAAATTTTACCGTACTACGATGCGATTAGACCAACTATGTTGTACGGAACAGAGTGTTGGGCATCAAGGGGTGAACATGAACACAAGGTTAGTGTGGCCGAAATGAAGACGCTTCAATGGGTGAGCAGTCATACGTGTATGGATAGGATAAGGAACGAAGATATGAGAGCTAAAGTTGGAGTGACATGTATTGTAGAAAAGATGGTGGAAACTCATCTTAGGTCGTTTTGACATGTGGAGAGAAGACTAATAGAGCATCTGGTGAGAAGGGTTGATCAAATGGTGAATAAACATGCGGCTAGAGGAAGAGGTAGACCTAAGCAAGACTTGGCAAGAGAGGCCTTTGCGTGAATGATCTCACTGCAGATATGGTACACGATAGGGGGCAATGGTGTCGTTTGATCCACGTAGCCCACCCCACCTAGTGGGATAAGGGTTTGTTGTAGTAGTAGTAGTTTGATAGTATCCTTATACAACTCTTAATGTTTATAAAATATGCTTGGATTTAATAGTACGAGTACATGTTAAGTTGGTACTATTATTAGATTAAAAAGAAATTTCTCTTCCTACCAACTCTCTTCATTTCTTTGTACTTCGGGTCTGCTGCCCTGCAGATACTCTTCCTCGACGATCACAATAAGGAAGTCGAAGGAATCAGCTTCATCGGCATCTCACTGTCCTGTAACGCGTAGCCTTGGTATCAACTCACACCATGTGCACTCTTGCGTATAATTTTTTTTTTCAGAACCCTTTCGTGTTGCACTTTGTTTTGGGTCGTTTCTTGGTGCTTCTAAGTTTCAACTCCATTCCCAGTGTTATACCCGAGCCTAGCCCCATGAAACTCTCACTCACGCCTTACACTATCAAAAGAACCAAAGGACTTATATTCAAATATTATGATCCATTTTAGTTGAATTCAAATGTCCTTAAACCCGAAAGGCCAAAACAACCTCTGTTTGACCCGAGGGTTCTGTGGTCTACTCCCATTTCAGTCCAAACCATCCCAAAACATCCAAAATATTTCCTTTTCAAAATAAAGTTTTTCCTACTCTTATTTTAGCCATGGCCGAAAATAAGAGTGTATAAACCAAAACCTTTTTGTTTGTTGTTATTTTCCTTCTTTTAAGCCTTTTAATAAACCAGTAAAACCCTCTCTTCCTTCCTTTCATTCCCTGCCCAAATAAACCTCACAATCCCAACACAA